ATGGGCAGGGCGGGGGGCACCAGGGACTGGTTCATGTCGTACATCACCCCCTCCGCCTCGTTGCCGAAGGGCAGCAGCAGCCGTTTGCCTTTCTGACGCCGGTTACAGAACCAGACGCGGACCACCTGCGAGGGAGAGGAGATGGGGAAGGTCAGGGGGGGAGAGCCCATGCACTGTGTGGGTGACAAGGAGACTTCTGCTGGTGGCATCTCCACAGCACCCTCTCTGCCACAGGGGCTGGGCTCAGACAGCCTGGTGGTGGCTACCAGCCCTGGCCACTCTCCCACAGCTTCCAGTATCAAACTGTCCTGATGCAGGTGCTCCGGATCCACAGCTGCTTGGGCACCCACCCTGTGAACCCTCCCAACTTACATCTTTGTCCAGGTTGAGGTCCTCGGCGATCTGGGAGATCTCCTGGGGACTGGGCTTCACGCACTTGCGGAAGAAGCTCTCCAGTGTCCCCTTCACGTTGGTCTCGATGCTGGTCCTGCGTTTTCTCTTCCGGGCTTGGGCCAACACTTGCTCCGCATTGCACATCTGGAAACGAGAGAGAGGCCACATGCTTGGTCACAGGGCTGGCAATGTCCCCACCAGGCTCTGGTGCAGCTGGCTGCAGAGGTCTGGGAGGGATGGGGACAGGCTTTGTCCCGGTGACTGTCCACTGAGCATCACCCCACTGTGACTGAGGCCATTCCCAGTGTCCCAGCACTGCTTGCAGGAGGGATGGACACAGACACGTCTTCCTGCGTCCCTCCAGGCTCCTCAGGGAGGAGCAACCTGCACCTCCAGCTCATCTGAGACTGCAGCGGGACCCGGCTGCTCCCAGACAGGAGCTGCCACACTTGTCACAAGGTGTCTGCAGGGGGATTTGGGATCCCCCTACCCTGGCAGAAGGTGATACCCGGTGGTTCACCCCACAACCGGACTGAAGTCACGGCAGTGAGATGTTGCTACAAGCACCAGACACCTGCTGCTCCCCTCCTCTCTCCCCAAAGCACGTGTAAAAGGGACGAGAAGCTGCTGTTCAATGGCTCCGGGGGGTGTGGTACCCCCAGCCCTCCCCAGCCCCGCACCTCTTGCATGTTGTCTGTGTTCTCCGCCTCGTTGAGCCAGCGCTGCAGCAGCGGCTTCAGCTTGCACATGTTCTTGAAGCTGA